TGTATGGATGCTGAAGCAAGTAATACCATGACTATTGAGAGTTTTGAAATAGAGGAAAAAGTCTCTAAATAGTTAAGACCTTTAGTTTGGTTAACCCTTGAGCCACCAACCTGGCTTTAAACCTTTCTATAGTGCCATCAGCTTTTCTTTTGATCTTGTATACCCATTTGCTTTTATTGGAGAGACATTTAGGTGTGGATCCACAAAATCCCAAGTATGATTTCTATGTAGAGCATCAATGTCACTTTCCATAGCTTTGATCCATCTAGGATCTTTAGAAGCCATAGAGTTATTAGTAGGCTCAGTTTCAGATGCCAATGCTAAAATGTATGCTTAATGGTGAGATGAAATATTGAAACATTATAGATACTTTTAAATAGAATACTGATATGCTGAGGTAATAGTGGAACTACAAACATATTAAATGAGCGGGAGGTGAAGCATTTCTACTGGACTTTCTAATAGCAATAGGAATAGGATTATTTGTTAGATAATACTGATCAGAGATTATAATAGGTGATACAGAGGTATTAGGATCTAGAGACTCAAATTCAGCTAAATCAGAAATTATAGCGGGTGAATTTGAAATATATGAGTTATTTTGAGAAGTATCTTGAAGAATGTATTCATTAATTTCAAAAATGCCTATAGAATTGTCTTCCTTCTCATGAGTAGTATTGATGAAATCATCACGAGAGCTAACATAAATGTTATGAGGGATGGCTTTAGCAGATTTGATATGGCAGGGAAATTCCATCTCAAAAAATTTAACATTTCTAGATTATAAATATTTCATAGTTAGATATATCAAGCAAGGCATATCCTTTCATATTTTCCTTGTATCCCAAGAAAGCACACTTCCTTACACGAAGATCAAACTTGTGTGACAGGTAATGTTGATGCATAGCTAAGACACCGAAAAACCTTTAGAGATGCTAGGTCAGGCAAATCACCATATATAAGCTCATAGGAGGATTTATTTTGGAGGAGTTTGGTAGGTATTCTATTCACGATAAATACTGAATGTTGCACAGTATAAGACTAGTATTTCTTTGGCAATTCAGATTGAAACATGAGTGCCCTGCTAATATTCAGAATTTGTTGGTGTCTTCACTCCACTCTACCATTCTGTTGTGGAGTGTAGACACAAATTTTCTGATGCAATATTCCCTTGGAAGCATAGTAAGATGGCATGATGAATTCCAAGCCATTATCACTCCTTAGAATATTAACTCTTTTCTCAAACTGATTTTCTACCATTGATATGAACTCTTTTATTCTTTGAGATGTTTCAGACTTTGATTTCATCATGACAATCCAAACATGTCTATTATAGTCATCTAAAATAGTCAAGAAATATCGAAAACCATGCACAGATGCGTGTTAAAAGGATCCCATATATCTAAATAAATTAGATCAAACACATGGTGTGCATTATTATTACTGATAGAAAATGGTAGAATTTTCTGTCTAGATTGTTAGCATACATCATAAGCATTATGTACACTATATATATATATATATATATATATATATATATATATATATATATATATATATATATATATATATATATATATATATATATATATATATATATATATATATATATATATATATATATATATATATATATATATATATATATATATATATCTTTTTCATACATTTCATTCTCTCATATGATAAATGCCCTAGTCTTAAGTGCCACAACACTCTAGGTGCCAACTCTTTATTCTTGTGGACAAATATACTTGAAACATGTTATGTTGCACTTGTGATTCCTTCACATGTTTTCAAGTAGTAAAGACCATCAATCTCTTTAGCCAAATCAATCTTCTTCAAACCCTTGTTTTCCTATATCACACATTGATCAGTTTCAAATACAAGCCTACAGTCATGTTCTGTACACAACTTTGAAACTGAAATCAAGTTTACTTCAAACTGAGGCAAAAAAAGCATATTGTCTATAGTAAGCTCGTGAGACAATTTCACACTACCACACACATTGGCAGATATAGAATTACCATTAGGTGAATTAACTATTATAGGTGTAATTTTACCATATTTCACATACCAATTGAGATCATGAAAAATACGGTGAGTTGCTCCAGTGTCCATAATCCAGCTAGAATTATTATGACTATTAAAGCTAACAAGAAAAGGTTTACCTCCTTTTGTTAGATTGACAGAACTTGTGTTCCTCTCAAGCAAGTCCATCGGGTTTTGATACTGCTCTTTTGTCAGAGTCATACTTTCACTTGTAGATGATGCAACAGACTTGTTATCTGACTCATCTGTATCAACATGATTCACATAGGAATTGGTATCACCACCTCTTTCAAAACTTGGTGGCTATCCATGCTTTTTGTAGCAACTGTCAACAATGTGACCTTTATTTCCATAATAAGTGCATACTTTCATATTTCCTCTTCCTCTTCCTGAACTGTGTCCTCCTTTATTACCATCATTAAAGCTACCTCTGCCTCTATCATTACTAAAATATTTATTTGGTCCAGCAGCATTTACCATTCATATACCATCTTCAGCCGAACTGTTACCAATAGATATTCTTCCACATATCTTTCTTAATTCAGTGAAGTAATCTGAGACTTTGTTAGCACCTTGCTTCAAATTGGAAATCTCTTAATACAATTGTGCCCCTCGTATCCTATCACCTCTCATAAACCTATCTTTAAGATCGTTCCACATATCAATTGCATTATCAATGAAAACAACACTCTGTAATTGATAGATTAATAGAATTGATAATCCAAGTGCGTACCAAATTATTGCATCTCTGCCATGCTCTGTAATTGAGATCACCAGCATCTGGCACTTCTATGGATCCATCAACAAACTGATACTTGTTCTTCATAGCTAATGCTCGTTTCATCTTCATTGACCAAGCATGATATTTTTCCCCTGATAACGCCGATGTTACACACACGGTTGATGATTTTTTCGATGAATAAACGTAATAAGGATCAAATGTATCAACAACTTGATTGTTACTATTGCTATTGTTATTGTTTCTCGTTATGATGATGAAAATCGATCATTCAAACGTGAATTTCAATAAAAGAATAGAATACAAAATGAATGAATGAAACAGATTCGAGAAGAATCAAAACAGAAAACGGATACAAGAAGAATCGAAAGAGAATTACAGGAAAAAAAAAGAAGATAACAGAAGCAAGAAAGAAGATTACGAAGAAGCTGCTATTATCATGGATTAACAATTAGAACTTCTAACAAACAGCAGAAATAGAGCAGGTCGAACCTGCTCTGATACCATCTAAACAATCACAAACTCCATTGACGAAGAACTTGAGCAATCAAAGGAAAGAAGAAGAATAAATATGAAGATGATAGTTTCATTATGCGTTGAAATCAGTTACAAACAATTTATATACTACAACTCAATGTAACTAACTTAACAAATTAAAAACAGAATCAATGCTAATATGTCATGTATCACCGCAAGTTGAACATGTAATGATCATGTGCATATCTCATCTTTATTATCGATTAGAGTATAAAAAACTATGATTTTTAATTTCATATAGGTAATGAAAGAGTACATACGACACTTCATTCTTTGATGGACTTGTAGGTGGAACATCAAAAATATGAGTTTGTGGATAGAATATCAAGAATCCATTATTCAACTCTATTAAGATCGCGTTTCAATAATTTGATTTGATTTTTACACTAGTTAATATTAGATACTTCATCCGTTTTAAAATGAGTGTCGTTTAAGGTTATTGCATACGGATTAAAGAGTATAATAATGTTGTCACAAAACATTGTATTTTTACTAAATTAACACTATTAATGTGTTAAAAGTAGTGCACGGATTAATAATTGAATACATAATTGAAATAATAACAATCATTACTACATTGAAAAGTGATAACGACATTCATTTTAAAATAAAATTTTTCTTTTAAAACGACACTCATTTTAAACGGAGGGAGTATTAACAAATATGAACCCAACAGGACCAGATCTCATGAAGAACATATGGTGCCTGATTTAAACCTTCTCCTTCCTCTCCATTGAGACTTGAAACCCCTTAGGTTTCTCTAAATATTGTGTGTATCTCATTCGTGCAAACGATTATGGATGTGGATGTTCAAATTTCTTATCGTTTTCTGAGAAAATAGTAAAAACATATAATGCATCATTGCCAAAACATATAATGCATCATTCTTATCGTTTTCTGAGAAAATAGTAAAAACATATAATGCATCATTGCCAGCCTGAAGAGCTGTATCGATCCTCACTGCTTGGCATGTGATCCTTCCAAAAAAGGGTGGTAATATATCGGCATTAGAGTAGTTTTTTTTGTGATTGAAGTTTGAGCTTTTTCATTTAAATCAAAAGGTTACTTATTGAAATCAAATTTGCATATTCAAATATATCATTTAAAACTTAAATTAAAAGGTTACTTATTAAAAATCAAATTTGCATATTCAAATGTGATTTAAGTTTGAGCTTTTTCATTTAAATCAAAATATTACTTATTGAAATCAAATTTGCATATTCAAATATATCATTTAAAATTTAAATTAAAAGGTTACTTATTAAAATCAAATTTGCATATTCAAATGTACCAATCAAAAGATCAGACCAAACTATTGCACTACAGATAGGACATGTTTACTTCCTGAAAGTAGTACAACACCTTTCAGGATAGAGTAATGTAAGACTTCTACTTTCTAAATCTTATGAGTAACCAATTTCAAGGAAGTAATGAAACTCGAAATTTTTGGAACCTCAGATAAAACAACTAAGAGTAATTAATTTCTACTACATCGCAAATTGTCCACATTTCATTGATAAAAAAACTAAAAGAACAGAACCATATACTTAAAGCAGATCAAACGATAGTTTTTAAGGATCACAACGGACCCAAGACTCAATTCTAAAACATAAAAACCAAAGACCTGTAGAACATGCACATATTATAAGACAACTATGCGACATCGACATATTTAAAATCCACCACGAAGGCGCAAAACAAGGTGAAGAGTAGACTCTTTCTGAATATTGTAGTCAGCAAGGGTCCTTCCATCCTCCAATTGCTTCCCAGCAAAGATCAATCTCTGCTGATCTGGTGGGATTCCCTCCTTGTCCTGAATTTTCGCCTTCACATTATCGATTGTGTCTGAACTTTCTACCTCCAAAGTAATGGTCTTTCCTGTCAAAGTCTTCACAAAAATCTGCATACCTCCCCTCAAACGAAGGACAAGATGAAGGGTGGATTCCTTCTGGATATTATAATCAGCCAAGGTTCGTCCATCTTCGAGTTGTTTTCCAGCAAAAATCAACCTTTGCTGGTCTGGGGGAATACCCTCCTTGTCCTGAATTTTCGCCTTCACATTATCGATTGTGTCTGAACTTTCTACCTCCAATGTAATGGTCTTTCCTGTCAAAGTCTTCACAAAAATCTGCATACCTCCCCTCAAACGAAGGACGAGATGAAGGGTGGATTCCTTCTGGATATTATAATCAGCCAAGGTTCGTCCATCTTCGAGTTGTTTTCCAGCAAAAATCAACCTTTGCTGGTCTGGGGGAATACCCTCCTTGTCCTGAATTTTCGCCTTCACATTATCGATTGTGTCTGAACTTTCTACCTCCAAAGTAATGGTCTTTCCTGTCAAAGTCTTCACAAAAATCTGCATACCTCCCCTCAAACGAAGGACGAGATGAAGGGTGGATTCCTTCTGGATATTATAATCAGCCAAGGTTCGTCCATCTTCGAGTTGTTTTCCAGCAAAAATCAACCTTTGCTGGTCTGGGGGAATACCCTCCTTATCCTGTATCTTAGCCTTGACATTGTCAATTGTGTCTGAGCTCTCTACTTCCAAAGTAATTGTCTTACCGGTGAGGGTCTTCACAAAAATCTGCATACCACCCCGAAGTCTCAAAACAAGATGAAGAGTTGACTCTTTCTGGATGTTGTAATCAGCAAGGGTTCTGCCATCCTCAAGCTGTTTGCCAGCAAAGATGAGCCTCTGTTGGTCCGGTGGAATGCCCTCTTTATCCTGAATCTTGGCCTTGACATTGTCAATGGTATCAGAGCTCTCCACCTCAAGGGTGATGGTCTTTCCAGTGAGAGTCTTGACAAAGATTTGCATCCCACCACGGAGACGGAGCACCAAATGAAGAGTTGATTCCTTCTGTATGTTGTAATCAGCAAGGGTACGCCCATCCTCTAGTTGCTTACCAGCAAAAATGAGACGCTGCTGATCTGGAGGGATCCCCTCCTTGTCTTGAATCTTGGACTTAACATTGTCTATGGTATCTGAACTCTCAACTTCGAGAGTGATGGTCTTGCCAGTGAGGGTCTTAACGAAAATTTGCATCTATATTATCAAAACAAACAAATAAATCACAAGATGTTTTTAAGACTATCTTTAAAGATCACTGCAACACAGAAAGACCACATATAACAAACAAAAGAAGCATAAGATCAACCAATATAAAGACTTCAGTTTACAGGAAACATCTTATAAACTTCATAAGTTAACAAACAATCAATAAACAATTCAGGTGACAACGCTAAATTACACATACACAGAACAAAAGTCCAGATAAAACTAGAGATTTGATACATATATAAATTGTGTCAAATTCAGAACCGAAGCAACAACATAATATATAATCCTGCTATGAGAAATTTAGTATACAAACCTAAAATAGATATGAACGTTCTTCTATCATGAAAATATTGAAAGAAAATTTGCCAATTAATCAAAGAAAAGTTTACCAATGATACAAACAATAAGATCAAAATCATATATTCAACAATCGATTAAAAAATAAGACAAAACCCTAATCAACAATCGATTAAAAGAATAAAACGAAACCCTAAAAGTGAAGTCTGATCAACCAAATCAAAATCAATTGATCCAATAATTAATCAATCGATAGAACACAAAAACCTAATAATCTAAATCTTAACCAATCGATAGAACACAAAAACCTAATAATCGAAATCTTTGTGAGAAAAGATGAAGGTTAGAAGATACCTTGATTGAGTTTGCTAGGGTTTTCTTTTCTCTGCCACGAATCAAAAGTTTATATGAAAATATATGAATAATGTGTTACGGGGCTTTCCAATTTATAGCTTAAAATTATTTGAGGTTGCCTAAAGGTAACGGCAGATCTGCCAATTATGCCGTGACACGTGGACAAATTTGAGCTGTTAATGACCACGGCAATGTTTGGTATCAGCGTCGCCTTTGGCAACGGATAAGAATCTGATAACGCGTTCCCTTCCAAACACGTTTGCTTATTTCGTTTTGCACCGTCTCTAGATAGTTCTTCGTTTCTAAGTTTTTCTTTTAAAATTATTTTGGCAATTTGTATCCAAAAATTTTAGCTTCTTTTTTAGGGAATTTACTATCAATATATAAATTTTGATTTCTATCATATACTTATAAAATTAGACATCGCAAAAACTAATCAGATCTCTTAATTCATGATTATGAATTTAATCTAATCTTTATTACTATTTTAAATATTTTTTCTATCGTCTAACGTATTAAAATCATGTTTCATTTTTCGTGTCAGTATCAATACTATAAAATATGCTTCTATGATTATTGCATAGTCTTTTTACGTATTCCAACAATCTGTTATAAATATTTATTATGATCAATCTTAAACTCTCACACAATCACCGAATTCGAAGTAAACAATTCGAAAAAATAAATAATTTTTTTATATTTTTGATTCAGTTTCTCATTTTCATCTGATGAATATGGAATTCCTATATTTTCTAATTAATGTTGTTGTGTTGATGTTGCTTTCAATCAATTTTAATTAATTAATTTTTATTCATTGTATTCATATGATGGAAATAATGTTTGTTCATTTTTCTGTGTTGTTGATGTTGTTTTTGTTTTGTTTCATTGTTTACGAATCAAAATCTGAAATTCAAAGAAAATCTTTTATATCTTATATCAGCTTTCTGTTTTAATTTTTTTTTTAATTTTTTTTCTTCATACTTCTATAATGAATCAATATTTTGGAACAGGATATCATGTCCCGCATTTATTTTTTATTCATTGTGTTCGTATGATGAAAATAATGTTCGTTCATTTTTCCATGTTGTTGATGTTGTTTTCGTTCTGCTTCATCTTCGTTGAGTTTTTGTTTTTTTTTCTTTCTACTTCATTGTTTACGAATCAAAACCTGAAATTCAAAGAAATCGTCTACATCTTATATCATTTTTCTATTTTAATTTTTTTGATGAATTTCTATTTTTCATACTCCTGAAATGAATCAATACTTTGAAACAAGATGTTGAGATATTAGATATAATATCAAATATAATCTAAGTTAGATACGTTGAGATATTAGATATAATATCAAATATAATACAAGTTGATAAGCCCAAACCCAATTAGGGTTGTATATAAATAGTCATAGTTTCTATCATTATTATTTGTATAACTTAAGTGAATAATATAATCCTTATTTTCTTATTATTGTCTTTTTCTCTCCTCACTAAAAGTGTCTCACGCACTAACAAATTGGTATATAAGCTTTCAGTTATTCTTTTTGATCGTGTTTTCAAGAACTTCACGTTAAATATCGTGTTTCCAAGACAAGTGAATGAACCGCTGCGAAGATGACTGGTGATAAGGGCATTTTGAGTTCTCTTCCAATGCTTGACGGCAAAAATTTGATCTGATGGAAAAACATATGCAATCCTTGTTTGGCTTCCAAGATATCCTAGAAATGGTTATTGACGACGTTCCTACGTTGGTTGCAGATGCTACTGAAGCACAGAAAAACGCCCATAACAAAGTCAAGAAGAAAGAATGCAAGGTTATTTATTGCATTCAGACGGTAGTCGATGCTGCTAACTTCGACAGAATCTCTCATGCTGAAACAGAGAAGGAGGCATGAGATATCCTGGTCAAGTATTATGAAGGAGGTGAGAAAGTCAACGTTGTCAAGTTGCAAATCTTTCGTCGATAATATAAATTATTGTTGATGGGAGAAGACGGAAAAGTTGTAGAATATGTGTCAATAAAAATGACAAAATATTCAAAATCTTTAAGAGATTCAAGATAACTGTTGAAAACCAGAGTGAGAAGAAGATCAAAATTTTGCGAACACATAAAGGAGGCGAATACACATCCAAAGATGTTTGAAGATTTTTATGCAAAATATGGTGTCGATCATGAGGTAACTGCTCCTTATACGCCTCAATATAATGGAATTGCAGAAAGAAGAGACATGGTCATATTGGATATAGCAAGATGCATGTTGAAGCAGAAGAATTTGTCAAAATCCTTATGGGGTAAAGTTGTTTCAAGTGTAATTTATATTCTGAAAAGGTGCCCTACCAAGAAATTAAAGAATAAGATTCCTGAATAAGTGTGGAGTGGAAAATAATCATCAGTAAGTCATTTAAAGGTGTTTGGCTTTATGTGTTACAAGTATGTTTCTGATGCAAGGAGAATGAAGGTTGATGACAAAAGTGAATCTATGATTATGGTAGGATATCATAAAACTGGTGCATACAGGTTATACAATCCAATCAATGAGAATATTGTGTTGAGTCGAGACATTGTGATTGATGAAAATTTTGACTGGGATTGGAATTATAATGATGCAATTAATAAGCCATTGATGAGCTATGGTTTCGACGAAAAACTGATGAAGTCGAAGTCGAAGAAATTGCAGATATTCCTGTCGAAGTCGATGCCGAAATAGTTGCTGACATCCCTTACAATGTTAAAGTCTAAGAGGGTGTGGCTAGTACAATCCAAAGACCTCAAAGAACTAAAGTTCTTTTGGCAAGAATTCATGGTTATGAAGTGGTTGGTGATGATGACGTCACACCAGATAGAGAATTAGTTTATTTTTCTTTACTTGCAGGTGCTGAAATAATCAACTATAGTGAGGCTTTGAAGATTAAACAGTGAAAGTCTGCTATGGTCAAAGAGTTATAGGAAATCGAAAGAAACAACACATGGGAGTTAGTCGAATTGCCAACACATACAAAAGTTATCGAAGTAAAGTGGGTGTTCAAGTTGAAACACAATACTGATGGATTGATAGCAAGATATAAAGCAAGATTAGTAGCTAGAGGTTTTATTCAAAGAGCAGGACTCGACTACTTTGAAGTATTTTTCTCCAGTAGCAAGATTGGAGATTGTTCGACTAGTGGTAGCATTAGCATGCAACCAAGGTTGGTCAACATTTTATTTAGATGTGAAATTAACATTTTTGAATGGTTCTTTAGACGAAGTGTTATATGTCATACAACCTCCAGGGTTTGTGATTCAGAAGGAAGCAATTAAAGTATATAAGTTTCCCAAAGCACTCTATGGCCTCAAGCGAGTACTTAGGGCATGGAACAATAAGATTGACTCATACTTAGTCGAATTAGGATTTGTCAAATGTAAATCAGAGTATGGTTTCTATGCTTAAGTTGTAGCACAAGATATAAAAATCATCTACTTATATGTCGATGACTTGTTAGTAGTTGTAAATAGCTTTGAGAACTTGTTGAAGTTCAAAGAGCTGATGATGAAGGATTTTGAAATGTTGAATCTAGGAAAAATTTCTTATTTCCTAGGCATGGAATTTCAAATGTCGAAGCAAGGTGTGGTACTACATCAAAGGAAGTATGTCAAAGAGATACTCAAGAAATTCAGAATGGATGATTTGAATCATGCATCCTCTCTTGTCGAACCAAATGTGAAGTTAGAGAAACATGGAGAGGAAGACAAAGTTCACGTAACTATGTTCAAACAAATTGTGGGATCTCTGAGATATGTGTGCAATAGTAGACCTGATATAGGTTTTGTAGTCAGATTAATAAGCTGATACATGAGTGAACCAAGGGTGTCGCACATAAAGGTTGCAAGAAGAATGGTGAGATATTTGAAGGGATCGATAAACTGTGGAATACTATTTCGATGAGACTTTGAAAGCAAAGAAGCAACAATTACTTATTTTTTAGATGGTGAGTGGTGTGGAGATAAGGAAGATCGAAGAAGCACAATTGGATATTTCTTTTAAGTATTTGGTGCCCCAATCTCATGGTGTTCGAAAAAGCAACATGTGATGGCATTCTCATCATGTGAAGCTGAATATATAGCATGATCCTATGTTTCATGTCAAGCAATTTGGATCAGATTGGTACTTGAAGAAATGGAGGTCGAAGTTAAGAAACCTCTTGTGTTGCAAATCAACAACAAGTCAACCATAAATCTGACGAAGAATCCAGTTTTTCATGGAAGAAGTAAGCATATCGAAGCTAGATTTCACTTCTTAAGGGAAAAAGTAAATCGAGGTGAATTTGAAGTTAGGCATTGCTCAAGTGAAGCATAGTTGGCCG